CTGGTTCCTTGGTACACACTAAAAAAATTCGATAGCAACTACTTTTATTTAGTTGGTAACGCAATTCTTTGTTTACATTTTGCTGCTGGCCGGTACCTATTTTCCGTGGTCGGCAGCAGAGTGTAAACAAAGGGGAGAAAAATCTAGTCTGCTATTGGCTCTTACAAATTGCAATAGCCAACAGCAGTCTGGCTATTGTGACTGCTCACTGAGCAGAGGAGCGGACCTGAGAGAGAACATTCTCTCTCAGGTCTGCTCCTCTGCACAGTGGGTGTGGCTTTAATAGCTAGCCTGCTATTGGCTACTACAATTTGAAATAACCCAGGAGCAGACCTGTGAGATAACTTTTTCTCTGAGCCGCCCCTCTGCTTGGTGGGTGAGGTTTCAATAGCCGGCCTGCTATTGGCTATTTGAAATTGCAATAGCACCCGCCCACTAAGCAGAGGAGCAGACCTGAGAGAGAAACTCAGTTGGCGGGGTTTCAATAGCCAGTCGGCTATTGCAAATTGTGCCTGCTCACTCTCAGGTCTGCTCCTCTGTATAGTGGGTGTGGTTTCAATAGCTAGCCTGCTATTGGCGATTACAATTTGAAGTAACCAATAACAGGCTGGCTAGTGAAACAGAGCAGACCTGAGCAAGAACTTTTCTCTCTCAGGGCGACTCCTCAGCTCAATGGGTGAGTCATCAATAGCCAGCCTGCTATTGGCCATTTCAAATTGCAATAGCAATCTTGGTATTGCTCCCGGCTGCTTACATTCACTTATTGGCTGCTGAAGCTAGCTGGCAGGGGTTTGGGGCTGGAGGATAGCGGGGCGCCGTGGGCCGTGTGTGGTTGCTTGAGAGTTGCTATTAACTCCCTTCCATTTCCCTTCCATTATCAAGGAGTACATCAATGCTGCAGTTCTGTGTGTAGTTGTATGTAAGACATGAAGACTGATCTTCTTTATCTTTTTTTTTTCCCAATACATGCAGGCTAACTTTGATTCAAGTTTAGAACTGTCCTTGGTATGGGTTGGCGACGGATCAGGGGTGAGTGATTTTATTAATGAATATGATTCTATTCCATTCTGAAAACACAAAATCAGCTACTGTGATAACCTGATATGCTTCCTCTGTGCTTTTGATGGTGACTGGCACCATATAGCAGTCCCCCTTCCTTTAACACTGGCTATTTGCATTCAGGATGTGCTCCTAGACTGGGATTTATAAAAGGCTGTGCTGTTACTGATCACACGCCTGAAATCCTGTGGATTTATCATGCAGAGTTCCACTGTAGTACTATACTTTAGCATAGTGTGTAACAGTGCAAATTTGATTTTAAAATACCTTATGAGCACTTTCTAATAAGGCATGTTAGAAATTATATTCAAAAAAGCTTTTCAATTATTTTAAAACCCTCCAAGTTCTCCAATCATCTTCCAGGACAGCAACCTGAGAGATGATTGGATCTTCAGTCTACAGGAAACACAATCAGACAAGGTTAAAAACCCCTCCCACCCCCCCTCGTCCCTCAGTTTTTGATTTGTGTTTCTTAACGTCTGGGTCAGCGCAATGTTTGTTTCTTTGTCCCGACTGGATGGCCTTGAGGTCAGCAGTCACCCTCTGTGGGGCTCTGCTAGGGTACTGGATTCCTGAGCCTTGCCTTGTGGTACAGAGGTTGTTCCCCACTCTTAAAGGAGAACTATGAGATGAGTGATTTCCACTCACCTCATAGTTCTAGCCGAACTGTGACAATGAGACTGTCACAGGTCGGCTCAGTAGATCGGGAGGTGAGCGAACACATACCAGGTTCGCTCACCTCTCGATCCTGTCACGGCTCTCTGCCGTGACTGGGGGAGGGGCTGGATTCCCCCCTCCCCACTCCGATCTGCCAGTGCTGACTGGTGGAACGGGAGGGGGCGGGTACAGCTGGCTCTGCCTCTAGATAGGCAGAGCCAGCTGTCACTCACGCACCTGGGCGTATCCCGTCATCTACGTGGGGATCCACTCCGGCTGCGGCGTCTCACTCGCGGTATACTGAGCTTAGGGTAACGGGAGGACGCTAGTTTGTGTCCTCCCGTTACCCTAAGGAGAACTATGGGGAAAAATACTGACCCCATAGTTCTCATTTAAGTACTTTTCACTAGTTGCCTATAGCTAAGAATACAAACATGTACCCAACATGTAGTGCTGATTACAAGAGTCTGGCTTGACTTCATTTTTTTGACAGTACTGATAGTCCCAGTTACCAACTGGCACAGGAATCTTTTTAGTGAATTTAAATAATTTAATGTTAAAGTCCAAGAGGTTATTGGTTTTTTTTTTTAATGTCATACTTGGATACCCATGTTTTTGGAAGCTTTTGTTGTGCCTGCGGGCACTGTGGCCTTGCCCAAGCAAAGTAGTGTTTATGTGGTACAGTAGATATCGGACTTTCTTTTATGTCTGGGACCACATAATAACATTTGTAGGCAGTGTTTTTTTTTTCTTTCCGTTTTTACCGTATAGTTATGTTTAGTTTCAGATAGAGCTGAAAAATGAAAAAAATTAAAATAATTGACAAAAAGCTTCAAGCTTTTTATCTTTAGCCTACTTTCACGTGTAAAGGGTAGAGTGGCCACAAAGTATGTGGTCAGAAAGTGTGGCAGGTCCTCTATGGAAATCACAGTCAGATCATTGCTTAAATCAGTGATTTGCCATCTGCAGAAGACTGTAAGCCCCTGCCTCAAATCTGATTGGGGCTGTTGGGTGTAACATTCGCCATATTCTAAGTAGAGCAACTGTAACTAAAGCCATTTAAGAATGGAATATGAAACTGGAACTTCTGAGTTTGCCCCTTTCCAAGTAAGGACAGCTTTGTACTCTTCACTACTGCCACAGATTCCTTTTTTTCTTTATTGGGTGTCTTGTGATGATATTCCTGTGCACCTTACAGATGTATTGTATATACCAAATATGAATGACACATTATTAGATTCTGTAGTGCAGTGATATGTTATCATGTCTATTATGTTTGAATATTCTGTTTAACCACTTCCAGGCCGCAATACGTGTATAGACGGCAGCCTGTTAAAGTGGTTAAAACAAAAAGCGTTGGTTTCCATGGGCACTGCTGATCTCTCCTCCGATCACTGGACCCGGAAGTGATGTGTATTACATCACTTCCAGTGTCACTCTTACAGTCTGCGGCTCTTAGAGCCAGGAGATGAAGCTGGGGAAGCGGATTTCTGCTTCCTCAGCTTCTTTGGGGTCCCTAGGTGACATTGGGGGTCTGAAACACGCGTTGGTGCGCCCACTTGCGAAAGCGACACTTGCGCTACACATGTTGCATATCTCCGCCATCAATCACTGTTAGCACTAAACTGATGAGCGGTAAAAGCATTTAATATATTCCCTATGGGAAATTTGGGGTATTTACTTTTTTTGCATCACAGGCGAACGCAATTTTAAGGCTTGACATGTTTGGTATCTATTTACCCGGCGTGACCCCATCTTTCATATTTTACAAATAAATTGGGTATTGTATTAGGTTTCTGTGCACTAAATTTTAATGTTAGTTTTATTTTTTCCTAAAAATACTGGTTTGATAAACATTTGTGCAAAAACCGTGCAACATAAAAAATTGCAACTAGCATTTCTTCTACTTTCTGAACATATATCATTGTTTGTTTGGGGGTTTTGAAGCTGTTTTCTAGCCAAAAATTTATATTTTATCATGTTTGTGAAAATAGTAAGAAAATGCCCCGGACAGCAAGTGGTTAAGAAGGTGTGTGTATACATACATTTATATTGTGTTACTGTGTGTGTATAATAGATGCATGTAGCTACTGTATATCTGTGTGTTAATTAGAAGAGAAGAATTCAATAACAATTAACATAGTGTTATGGGATTAAAGGATTGTGTAAGAAAACACAGCCACATTTACGGTGTTGTTGCTGTTTGTGGTTTTGACCCCCGCACTCCCCACTAAACCCACTTCCTCCTCCAACCCACACCTACCCTACTCAAACTAATGGGCCCTGCTTTTTTGGGCAGCCGAGCTCCACCTCCACCAGGTCCAGCAACATCAGACTGAGCTGAAGCCCACTTAACAGGCAGGGCTTGGTGAGCAGCTTCAAGGAGAAAACAGCCCACAGCCACAACAGTAGTCCCCCCGCGGCCTCACACATCTGCATGGCCACTGTCCTTTTGCAATGCTACCACTGGCAGGTTAAACAAAAAAAAATACCCTTGTATGGCGAACTTTAGTTTCAATTTGAAAGTCACATTTCATGCTTTAAAACATCTATTTAGTATAAACATTCGGTTAGTTTTGAGGTAAATAATGTTTTGAAAGTTGAATTTAAATTGTTTAGTGAGAGGTAAGTTTTCGAAGAATAATTTCACCCTTGGACTTCTCAAAGATGGCGTCTGGGTTCCGTATAAATATGGTGGGTGTTCAGATGACATTACAGTGTATTACCCCAAAAATAAATAGTGTGTGTCTATATGTATGTGTATATGTATCAAGGTATTTTAACTTTTTTTTTTTTTCTTTTTTTTTTAATTCTATTTATAAAAAAAAAAAAAACCTGGTCAGTCCCTGTTTCAAACTGATCACACCAAGCACGGAAGCAGATGTGTGCTAGTATAGTCCGTTTGCATCCCTGGCATTATTGCTGAGAGGTGGAGGACAATAAACTTGCCTCCCATTTCAGAATAATTGAAATGTCTAAAGCTGCCCATACACCTTTACAACTATCGCACGACTTTCTTTGTGCGATGGTTGTAAGGTGATTCAAAGTTCGTATGACCTGCCCATCTTTGAAAGGCAGATCATACAAGCACGCTAAATCGTTCTAGCGTGCTCGTAAGATGAAAATCGTGCGACCGTACAGTAAATGTGGTCGCACGCTGCCCATACAACTGCAGATTATCGTACAATCGCGGGATCATCGTCAGGTGTATGGGCACCTTTTAAACAGGCAAATAAAGGTGCTGTTACTGCACACCTGCATGGGAGTGGCCATAGCAGCTACATGGAGTGACTCCTCAGCTCTAACTGATACTATAGGGAGGGGATGGGGGGTTGTGTTGGCAGAGTAATTGGAGAGATGGGTGCACTTCCAGAACTACTAGCAACAATTCTTCCTGTCCTCTCTCCACTCCGCCAGCACCCTCCACCCTGCTACTGTAGTGAAGAGGAAGATGACAGACATAGGACGAAGTGGTGGCAGAAGTTTGGTAAGCCTGGTATGGCTCCCCCCCTCTAAACACTCACTACCACACTTGCCACCACCCTAGTTGCCACTATCCCATTACCCCCAGCCCTCGCACCCATCCCCAACCTTGCCTGTTTGGAACAGGCACACCTTTTCTAGTAAATATTGTAGTTGTAATGTGTCCTGCATTGAATGGTATACTAGACCATTTCACTAAAATATGATCACATTTGTGTCATTCTACCCTATGAAGGTATGGCTCATTTTTATTCTCCATTTTATTTAAACTATGTGCAGAAAAGCTAGTACATAGTGTTATGTTAGAAGTTGTAATATCTTTTTTTTTTTTTTTTCTCCCCTTCAGAAAATGCCATTTTATTTTTTTGCTCTATGTAGGCAAAGAAAGCTACCATTGTGATATCAGTGACGACAACTGCAGCCCAGCACTGGAAGCTCCTGTTTGTCTTGCAGTCATGTGGCTGCTGGAGTGAATCTATTGCCAGACTTCTTTTTTTTTTACCTTTACTTCATGCTTCTTAGACCAGCTGATTTTTTGGGCTTGGTTTCTAATTTGTTTTTTACCTTTTACCTTTGACATTGGCTTGCAGTGTTTTTTTATTTTCTTGTGTGGGCAGCAGATAAACTTAAACTGGAGACTTCTCAGTAGGTGGGGGGTTTGGCCACCGGCAGGGGCCGCCCCTATGCTGTAATTGGTCTTTGGTTTTTTTGTGCCTAGCGTCCTTCTCCTGCAGGTGGCGATATTACCCTACAGTACATGATCTCCAATCTGTTCCCTGTGTCCTTCAATGAACGGAGAGAAAAGGATTTTACGGTGAGTACCAAAATCCTATTTTTGCATAACACTCTTGCTTGGAGTCTATATGCCTTATGGTGGACAGTAGTAGATTTGATTGATCCACAACTATGGTATACTACCTACTAGATGAGGAAAGATTTTACCTCTTCCCCTTCCTAAATTAATGCTGACCAGATATAGATATTGCCTAGAGGTGGGCTATAAATAGCCAATACGGTTAATGGTTTCCTTTGAGGCATACGCTGGTTCAATAAGCTAGAAAATCTTAAGTACATCAGCCACAAAAGAACTGTTAGACCCCATTCACACTAGGGTGACAGCGTTTCAGTGCTGTGTTTTTTTAGCGAGGTTTTGCACAATTTTTATGCTTGGTTTAGCGCCTCTTACAGGCGTTTTCTATTCATATATCAGCGCTTTTCTTAAGTTCATTTTCAGTTGTCCAATGAGAAGCAGGCTCAGCTGCTCAAACGCGCATAAAAAAATGTGCGGAATTGTGCAAAAACGTGCTGATCGGCTCATTTCCAGTTAAGTCTATGGAGCAAAACGGACTGATTAGCACGACAAAAGCTCAGGGACTAATTGAACGACGGGTGTATTTGTACAAGCGATTCTGTGAACGGCCACAGGAATGTTTTTTGGGTTGGTTTTTTTTTTTTTTTGCATGCGTTTCAGCGTGGAAAAATCCACGCAACGAAACTGCCCTGGTGTGAATGAGGTCTTAAAGGCTACCACATTCCAATAGGTTTTTTTTTTTTTTATACTGAGAATGGGGCAGGTTCTCTCAAGAAAGATGGTTGTTTCTGACAAAGCTAATTGCCCCA